AAATGCTTCCCAAAATTGCTATTACTTCTCCTTAAAACCTGCCACATACAAAATGTTTTGGTAATTTGCTTAAACAGTTTTGGTATATCCAATTATAATCTTTAGCAGCAGCAGGAGACTTCTGTAGCAGTGAACAACACAATGTAACATGTCATGGCCTCAAGTCGTTAAGATAATCCTCAGGGCTTCTTGAGGCCATTTTGTAGTTCTGAAAAAAAAATACAAAGAAGTAAATATTGTTGGTTAAATGCTTCAGTTTTCAAACAATGGAAGTTTAGCCCATATAACATCTTGATTGTGTCAGAACCTCTGTTAGGACCATTTTTGGGGAGTTCAAAGAACTGAAATGTAACTTTGCAAGGAAGCCCAGTTCAATAGACAGTATCGAAAACCTGGTCATGAAACTTCTAAATTAAAAGAAAAGATGCTGTTAGAATGAAGGAAGATTCAACAGCCTAATGAAAGGGCAGCGAAACGTGCTGAGAAGAGATCTACCTCAAGGAACAAGAGAAGATAATAAAAATTACAATGAGCATAAGTTACTTTGAAAGAGTAACTTATTGTAAATGACTAATAAATGGATCGGAAAAGTAATTATATACTATGGATTACTGGTGCCTACATATCATGGTGATGGTGTTTTATAAATGAAATAGATAATCTAGGCTATTCTAACACTTTCTGACTGAAGAACAATTAGATTGGTAGATGAGATACACAAAGTGTGCATCCAGGTTTGAATCCGATCTGAATCCAAGAAGGGCAATACACAGGAAAAGCGTGACTGGGACTTGAGATAAAGGAGATGTGTTAAGAAGAGGCTCATATAAGAAACTTTGCTCTCCCAGCAGAAGACAGCTAAATCCAATCCAATCAGGGACCGGTGGGTAGGGCCAGGCTGCAGGCATGCAGTCTGTCTTTCAAGCAAACGCTCTTAGGCTATATCTACACGAGAGACCTTACAGCGGCACAACTGTACCGCTGCGGCTGCAGCACGATAAGGTCTCCCATGTAGCCGCTTTATGCTGACGTGAGAGAACTCTCCCATAGGCATAATTAAACCATTCCCAACAAGTGGTGGTAGCTATGTCAGAGGGTGAGCGTCTCCTGACCGACAAAAGTGGTAGTGTAGACATAGCATTAGCCAAGCAAGGGGAAGCTGAAGGTTAGGGGAGAGTTGTGCATTTAGACTTTTTAAAATCTTGCCATTTTAACTCAATGTCCCTGAATATTGTATTCTTGTCAAATAGTAACTAATCTATTGTTCTGAAATGGCTGTCCTGTGTCACTGCAAACATTTGCTGGCTACATAGCTCCCAAGGACGTAACTAGGGTCCAAACTCATCTGGACCTCCTAAAGGAGCCACAGTGAGAAACAGAGGCGTTGAAGCCAGGGCATCTTTCTTGAGCAAAGTGTAGGCTCACAATTTTTGTGGCAGCTGAGAGAGTTAGAGGTACGTAATAAATATAATTTATCACATGGATAACATGAACATATGTGGGATGGCTAGCTGGAGACACTTTCTGACAGAAATAACAGAGCTCTGAAACATTTTCACAGTGTAGACCACATCTTATTTTGCAATGTGTGTGAGAGAACTGGACAGCGAGCCTATGGCAATTCTGTGACCAATATATTCCTTGCTAATGTGAAAACAGTAGCGGATAGGACAAAATCACCTGCAAATCTTTATGGGTCTGTTAAGCTCAATGCTCTTCTGCATCTTCTCATAGAGAAAGCACTGTGGCAGTGGAGCATGCAAGGGGTGTGCCTGTCTTCCCTGGTTCAAGATCCATAGGAAAAGACAAAGGTGTTGTCTACACTAAAGGGAAAAATTGATCTAAGCTACGCAATTTGAGTTACATAAATATCGTAACTCAAATCGACGTAGCTTAGATCTACTTACCATGGGATCCGCACTAAGTGACGTCGATGGGAGACGCTCTCCCATCGACTCCCCGTACTCTTCTCGATCAGATGGAGTACAGGAGTCGACGGGAGAGCGATCGGCGGTCAATTTAGCGGGTCTTCACTAGACCTACTAAATTGACCGCCGATGCATCGATCGCCACAGCATCGATCCTCCAGTAAGTGTAGACAAGCCCAGAGAGGACATCAAAGATTTCTGCCCCCGTGAAGACAGTTCTTCCACTTTCACACTTTTCCATATAGTACCATCCTCTGAGCTTTGGCACTGATGTGCTGCCATTGGTTAATCATCTATCAACTAAGTACTTCTGCTATCTTCAGGCTGTTGAAGGGGCTGAGGAGTTACCTCTGCTCAGAGCAGTAAAACTTACCAAGGGCTTGTTGTCTATACCTGAAAGTTACCTGGGATTATGGCACAGTGTGATTTTAAAGTGCAACATCTGTTCCTGAATAACTCCACTCCTGAACAAGAGTGTCCACACATGGAGTTAATCAGGAACAATTACTCTGAATGGGAAACATGCTGAATTGAGAGGCTGTTCCCCCAAATCTTCTCCCTTTCCATCAACATGCCCTCTGTCTCCATGAAGTGGAACTAGGTTGACCAGATGTCCTGTTTTGGCTGGGACAGTCCCTTTTTTAAGCCCTGTCCTGGCCTCCCGACTTCTTTGGCAAATGCCCACTTTTGTCCAAAAAGTGGGCTGCAGAGGAACATGCCTGGGGGGGAGGGGAAGAGTAGCGACATCAGCCTCAACCCCGTAGGGTGGGGGAGGCCTTGGGCCAGCCCCACATGGTGTCCCGTTTCCCCTTTGGTAAATATGATCATCTAGAACTCCTGCATAGTTCCTAGAAAAGAATAATAAGAGCTAGGCAGTGGGTGGGGGTGGGGGTGGGGATAAAATATTAATGTACCTTCAACCTGCAGATTTTCTGCATTATTACTTCCCTGCACACTGCAGAGAGGAAATTTGTGGTAGACCAATGTATCATCAGTTATATTTGAGATACGAACAGTGAAATGACCAAGTAAAGTAACTGACCTTATCTGCATTATTCTGGCCGAAACAGTACCAGCAATACTATTATTACTACTACTGATTTGAAGCTCCCATCTAAGGGCAACAAACAACTTAAAATGAATGTATTAGTTAAGCCTCACAACACACTTGCGGAGCACTGTAACTAAGTACAGCAGTTTATAGAAAAGTAAATAGGCCCAGAGAAATGATGTAACTTGCCCAAATTCATTAAACTAAATGCTTTTAATGATACAATCAGGTTAATTCAGCATTTATTAAAAAAAGACTTTTATATATAAAAAGTTCATAGAATCAATTACTTAAAATAATCTAACAGCATGTAACTTGTTATGCTAATCATGTTGTACCTGAGCTAACCTTTTCACTATCACAAAGCTCAACAGAGAATATGACTTGCATTTAAAATGAGCCGCTAACGAAATCAACACAGCCATAAATAATGTTAAATGAAGGAGAGAACAAAAACCTTTTCTAAAATAAGGTTAGATGCTAAAAGGACTTGAAAACTCAAAAGAAGCAATACATACATTTTCTATAGATTTTTCTTTCCAGATACCTTATAAATCTTATGATTTTATCTCAGAACTAATCTTGAATTTTTTTAACCCATCTACCTGGTCATCCATTTTATCCATGTCAATGCCTTTTTGGTTTAAATATCAGAATGTCATGCCCTTTCTCAAACTCTGTGTATTCTTAGTAAGCTATTCTAAAACTATGGTAGTCAGTACTTTTCCATCTCTTCTACTCCACCCAAGGTGTTTTCAGCAGTTGAAAGAAATGCCATTTCAGTACTGACCAGAAAAACAAAAGCACTGAATCAATGTTAGCTTAACTTGACCTCTGTGTAACTGCAAAGTCTAATGTAGTTACTTCTGTGTAGTAATGTAGATAAACCAAGTAAAATGCTTAACAAGGCAAAACAAAAGAAAGTGAAAAACAAGCTCTCCTTTTAAAGTATATTTATTAATATCAAATACTTCCCCCACTACCATTGGTTCCTTATCCTGCACTCTAGAGTTATAGTTAGGCAACCAGACCTCTTCCCCCATACTAAGAAGTCTTTTCAATATTCCTCTGTAAGGGCATTATGAATCTTCGAAGTTTTCTTCAAGGTAACAAACTAGGAAGCTTTTCTTTTGGGAAACTTTCGTTTGTCAGGTGCTGTGCAAAATAAGGACTTGCACTACAAGATCTTCCAACTTATCTCTAAGTGAAAGTCACTTGTAAGCCTGAAGTGCTTTTGATGAAACTTTCAAGCAGATATTTCAAGACTGAAGCACTGAAGGGGAGGGGGAACATTGTTAATTCCAAAAATGGAAGAAGCAAAATCTAATTTAGGAAGCAGATAGATTTTTCCTTCCGACCCTTCCATTTTAGGAGTAAAAATTTGTTTATTAGCAAGTCTGTGTGCCAACTGTGTTGTCCAACAACCTTAAAATGAAATACTCTGACACACCCTCGGAAAAACATCTTACTGAGACTGCAAATTCCTGACCACAGTTTAACAAATATAGCCTTACGGCTCTTGTTACAAACATTGATTGGAAACTGTTTAACTGTATCACTTCCTATTGTACAAACTGTCTCTCTTCAGGGAATATGTATCAATCACACACAGGTACAGTGCACACCTACACATACAGAGATATATAAACACAATCTTAAAAAACAAAGCTCTCCCTCTTTTCTGGAGGAAATCTGCCTGCTAAGCTGAACCGGATGCCACTTCCAGTAGGAGTCATTCCAGGAAAATGTAGGCTGATTCTCAGGGATCAGTGGGCCCCGCAACAGTCTAACCAATGGTGGCTCAGCTCTGTAAGTGGTAGGCACATAAAAATGGGACTGGCAAGACTAACTGAATTGCTCCCTTCCAGTCAAAGCCAATTACAGTAATCACCGTCATGGCTTTTGTCAATTAAAAGCCAAAGTGGTTTTATGGCCTACCAAAGACTTCCTACATAAACAATCAGAGTAAAAATTAAAAGTTCTGAGAAGAACTGGAATACTACAACAATTATTCTACTTACTGTTCAATACGTGGGGACAGATACAGCTTGGGGAAAACCTGAGCAGCTTCTGTATCCTCAAAACTGACTGAAAGAAGAGCAACATCCTCTCCTGGATCTTCACTGACATCCTAAAAACAAGGAAAAAGCAGACAACATCAAACTTAAAGTCATCAGAACCTTACTAGTAAGGGGTGAAAGAGGGTTAAATACCCAGTGTGGGTAAAAGGAACATCATAAAGGTTGAAGGGACTCAAATTTCACAATTTAAAAAAATCTGTTTGTAAATTTCACTTAATTTTTTAAAAATATTTTGACAACAAATTCCACAGCGCTCGTTTTTCTTCAATGGATCAAAAGACAATCAATGATACTAGCCCAGCATTCACAAGCAACCCCTTACAGTAACACACCACCTTTTCAGTGTGTTGGAGCATAAACATTTCAGTAAAAAACAGATTTCATTTCTAAGATTCCAGGGACTGTTATAAACAACTGATGAAAATACCAAAAAAATCTTCATATAATATTGTTGGGTCATTGAGTAATACACCCAGATGTTACATTTATAAACTTTCATTGAAGTATATAGACCTGATTCTCTGCTGTGTTCAGCTTCTGTTTGAGCTGAGGGTGGCAGGGATTCGGGGGGTGACATTAAGGTGTAGGTTATGGCTCCCTGATTCTCTGCCTCAGCCCTGGCCTCAGTGCAAATTAGAGTGTGCATTAATTTAAGGCTGCCCTTTCATAACCAATCTCTGAAGTGTCCCTCTCTCGTTTAGGCCCTATCTGCACATAACTTCCAACTGTGATTTTGTAACCAGTAAGTGGTAGTGACCTTAAATAGCCTCACAGACATACACACAAAGTAGCATCAACAATACACACAGCAGTATGCTCTGGGATGCTCCATCACACCATAGTTGTGAGAAAGAAGGAACATCTATTAAACCTAATAAACAATGCTAATAACCCCATTAAACAATGCCAGGTGATTCCGCCCAACCTACCAAAACCACAGTGTGTTGACTGGTTACAGGAAGATAATCATGTGCCAGCCCAGGCTTCTGGCAGGAGTGAAACACTACTGGCTGTCATGGATTCTAGCAGCATATTAACCATGTGGTATGCGCAGACCCAAACTATACCAGTGACTTGTTCCAAACACAGTTAAAAACTGTAGTGTGGCAGGGCCTTAGAACAGGCTGGCCATATTACATAAAACAATAAGAAAGACCTGACAGTGTTTTTTCAGATATTTCTCCACTCTGTGGCATAGTTCTGATCTACAATACAACAATAGTGATCACAGTCCACAAAATGTCCCCTGAGTATTCCATATGTTTTCATGGTTAGGGAAAATTTGAGACAATTAACATCTTTCACTCCTGAAGTCTAAGTGCAATATTAACTGTGTTGTCCCTATTAACTTGCTAAGTCACACTAATCAGACAAACAGAAGTGTTAAAACCGATTAAGCAGTAGACCAAAAGGATCTTGTTTTAATTGACAAGGATTTGTCATATGATGAAAGGTATAGAGTACGTTTACCATTTTTATATCCAGGGTATCTCCAAGACCACAAATTCTTTTATGCTGGAAACCCTTTTCAAACACCGTGCTCACATTAGCACTGAACACATGCTTTTTATTGGCTGCACAACAGCAAGGAAAAATTGAACAGTTAAAATCCCACATGAGTATTGTTAATGCTCAAATAGATCAAAAGTTCAACTCTCCACACATACACTCAATACAATGTGACAGTACATGTACAGTTTCTAGAATATACCATCTAGCTCTACTTTCTTTCCTTCAAGATCTCAGTGATCAAAAGGACTCCAAAAAGACAGAGATATAAAATAACATATATCAGGGAAACTAAACGAAAATTACCAAGAATTATTATGACCACTAATAACAGCATTTAATAGAGACTTTCTTGGTGGGAGAAATTTTAAAATATATACTCTTACATGAACACAGTGCCTTTGATATTTTAAGATGCAGCAAGCTGAAGACTGCAATACAGGTGGTAAACCCAGACGCCTAATTTTTCTCCCTCTACAGAAGATAATAAACAATAGTAACAAGTTAATGGTGCAAGTACTCCTGCCAACATGGCATTGCATTGAATATGAATATAGCTACAGTTCAGTGCAAGTTTGTGGAAAGAAACTGACATTTGTCCACTACATTTCAGATTGTCATTTTTCAAATATACGGTATAAAAAAGGTCAATCAGTTACAGACACAATTTGCTTAATTCTCCAAAAAAGGTTTAAAAAGTACCATAATACAGTAACTGTTGCAGAGCTATTATGAAGCTGGCTAACCTGTGGCTCACCCTGGCCAACATAGGATGGCCACAGAGCTATCACAATACAAAGCTGCAAAAAGGTCATTTTTGTACAGATTGGCTGGACCTAGGTGCACATTTACTTTATGTCAGACTGTCAAACATTATTATAATTAAGTCCTTTTGTACATAACAACACACTGTTTATTTCTTTCGTACTGTACTTTGTTACTTTTATTTATGCAACAATCCGCTTGGTGGAACTGCATTCAACCTTAATATGTCGGTTACAACTGCTGTTTATAAAACTAAATTGAAAACACATGTTGTACAGATAAACGATGGGGAGAAAATCTGCCTTTTAAATTAATGGACCTTTTTGAAGTGTCTGTGCCAGTCAAGATTTAACCCCTCAGAGCTACATCTTTCAGTCATCTCTACAGACCTGTTAATGATTAGATGACTTGATATTCAGTGTTTGTGTTGGGAAACAATTATCTTTTCACAGGACAAAGGCAGCTCCTTCGCAGGGAACCCAAGAGTCAGAAGGCCAAGGATGTTTTTATGTTTCGTACCAAGCTATAACCATACGTTACTTCCCCGTCTGCCTACATTTTGTGCATGTGTTTTAGTCTCAAAGAACAGGCCAAATAGAACAAATACAACAGACCAAGGAAAATAACAAAGCAAAAGCACCTTTTTCTTATTATTTTTCATTTAGTTTCAGAAAGAATGATATTTCTAGAGAATATACTTTTCTGTTACTGTATCTTCCTTAGTGTCATGAGCAAATTTTGTTTCTTCAGTATTTTTCCCATTTCCAGAATACAAAAAGAAAAAGGTACTCAAACTTAAATGGCAACAAATTCTGAATATTTAAAACCAAACAATCTTTTGCACAACATATAATTAACCATGGAACTTGCTGCCACGGGATGTTGTTAAAGCAAGTAGCTCATACATTTCAGAACAGAATTAGACACTTGTATGAATTAAGAATGGAATTTTTATAATGAACAATAGCATCTGTAGTTACACTAGTTAGGCTAAAAATAATACTACTTAGCATTTATAGAACGTCTTTCATCAGAAACTTTATAATTTATATTATTTATATTTTTATTATTATTTATATTTTTATTATTTATTATTATTTATATTCTGTTTCCCAACTGTAAAATGGAGATAATAATCCTTCTCTACATCACAAAAGCATTGTGTGATGTAATGACTGAATGTTTGCAAAACATTTCGAAATTCTTGGATAAAGCACGTGGTACTAAGTAAAAATATCAGGGTCTCAGTAATACACAGTATCTTAAAAGAGACATTTTAAGAAACTTGAAATCTAGCCCACGTAAAAAAAATATACAGATTTAAAACTAGTTCCAGGATGTCCCTCTAACAGTTTAGGTGGCTTTTTTACAATTACACATTCCTACTTTAAAAATGCTTTCTCTCCCGTTTCACTCACTCACACAACAGAGAAAATGGACTGCACAGGAAGTCAGTGAAAATGACCATAACAGTGCTGTCAAATGCACAAAGTAAAGAAACTAAAAAAAAAAGGATGGATTTTCCTCTTGTCTCTTTCAATTAGTCACCTCCAGTGACTACTTATGACAACAGCAGGTAAAACATTTCAGATATAAATGCAATTTTTAAGTTTTTGACAAACTGGAAGAAAAGTCACAACTCTCAGCTGTCATTTACACTTGTACTCCCATGTCAGAACTTTAGTAAATAAGAATCAGGATGATAATCTAAATCCTGAAAACTACTAAAAGTCTCCAGGTTTTATGAAAATACAAAACCAACAGAAAAGTTATGAAAAGTGTGGTTCTGAGACATTCAAAGAAATAAATGGTCTTTCCTTGGAAGCTTAAACAAGGGACACCAAGTAACATGGGAACCAAAAGAAACATATCATTGAGTTGTATTTCAATTTATATTAATTAGCACTATCTAAATGATCATGTGCTGGCTTTCATTCACAGCTAATGAAGCTGTCATTCACAAATACCCTTCAGTTTTACATTTTACTGGAACAGCTGCACCTCTTTCACAATAATTTATCCTTTTGTAAATGAATATGGATTGTGGTTAACTGTTAATACCAAAACCACATTTTATATTTTTAATTTAAAGGCATTGTTTTCCTGCGTCCTACCTATTGTAACTGAAAACTGGGAATTTACGGGAACTGAGGATTTATGATGAGTCAGATGGTAGATAGCTAGTCCAACCAAAACATCTGCTCTTCACAGTCACAACTGTTATAATCCATTTCCTCTTGGGCCTGGAGCATAACCAAGTTGTAGATTAGGGCTCTTTTTCCTTAAAAATGCAGATTCTGGAAAATCAGGCATAACTCAGAAAAGGTAATCTAGAAGCTTTTTGTCTTGCTACCTTAGTTTGTAGTACACTTTCAAGAAGAGACATTTCTATAATTTGATTTCCAAAATATTCAATCTGTTTTCTTCAAAGCAGTTGTTTCTTTATAGCACTTACACTTCAACTATGTCAAGAGGCTACTTAATCAACCGCCTCCTTTTTGGTGTAACCGATCATTGTTATTATTAATATTTCTACTGCAATAGTGCCCACAGGTCCTATTCAGGATGGGAGCTCCGCTGTGCGAGGTGGTATAGAAACATACATTAAGACACATCTCGGACCCTGCTCTGAACAGCTTACAGTCAAAAAACAAGCATCATGGTGAAGATGTGGGGAGAGGGACATATTCGAACAGACACAATTTTAATATATTTATATGCACATCATATTTTTGCTTCTTTTTTAACACACTTAAAGAACTAACTAAGAACAATG